TTCAGTGTTGCACTTTTCTCCCTGCTTACCCCTCACCCCTAGTTCACTCTTCTCATTGAAAAGTAAAAGAAGAATTCTTTCAGTGTTATACAGTCCCTCCCCCCAAGTCCACTCCACTATGCAGCCTTCGTTCTGGACTCCAGTCATAACAATAATACCTAATCACATATCCCTTCTCCCTCATCTGTTTCAATGCAGTATGCATTATTCATCTCAGTCTCCCCCAACCCTGAGGTCAGTCCCATTTTATAACAGTGGCCCTATGCAGTATTTGTCCTTTTTTGACTGAGATATTTCACTCAGCATAATGTCCTCCAGGGTTACCCATTTTGAATAATATTGCATGAGTTCCTTGAGTTTTTGGGGTTTTTTTTAACTTTTTTTGTTTTTAATTTTATTTTATCAATGTTAAAGAACATTTACAGAGATTTTGGATTTCCATTCATTCATTGTACTTTTCTCTCTGCCCACCCCTCCCCCCCAGTTTGCTCTTCTCTTTGAAAACTAAAAGAAAAATTCCTTCACTGGTATACAATCCCCCTCCCCACCCCGAGTACAGTCCACTAAGCAACCTTCATTCTGGACTCTTGTGATAACCATAATACCCTATCATATATTGCTTTTAAACTGTTCTCTCCCTCATTTTGTTTTTCAATGCAGCGTAGTATTCCGTTATGTGAATATACCACAGCTTCTCTATCCATTCATTTGTTGATGGGCACTTAGGTTTCGTCTTATTTTTACAATCTGATTATGGAAGCATTTACTGTCACTCTGTGTGTGTGTGTGTGTGTGTGTGTGTACACACCCTCTTGTACTGTCACAGTGGATTACACACATTGCACATGTTACTGATGGGGTGGATGGAGTCCCTCTTCTCCTGCCTTGTTCCAGACACCTTTTAAAAAAAAACTGTTATATTTTACTTTTTAAAAAATACTTTATTATTTTTTGAGTGTGTACTGTCAAATCGGATCTGAGTGGTACAGGAGGAGTTTATCTCTCCTTCTGCAGCAGAGCATCTGGTGGATTCGAACCGCATGCCTCTGGGATTGCAGTGTAGCGTCTTGCCACTAGGCCACCAGAGCTCCCTTTTATAGTATGTGTATCATTCCTAATGTTTACATCAACTCTTGTTGATGTTTGACTGATGTTAAATTGTTATACTATCCTTCTTTTACAAAGGAGAAAATTCACTTTTTCTCAGTAAAATTGAGACATGAGAGCACCATTCTTTACTTACGATGGGTGATAACGGCAGGTGCTCTTAATGGGGTGATGGCACTGATGGTGTGTGAATTCTTGTCCATGTCAACCTGTCTGTCTTCTTACAGAGGTCCATCCATTACTGGGTGTGAAGGGGGATGGCAAATCCAAGAAGAAGCAAGCAGGCCGACCTAAAGGATCAAAAGGTAAAGAGAAAGATTCTCCATTTAAACCGAAACTCTACAAAGGGGACAGAGGTTTACCTCTGGAAGGATCAGCGAAGGGTAAAGTGCAGGCGGAACTCAGCCAGCCCTTGACAGGTAAGGACACGCTGAGAGCACTGTCTGGCTTGCTTCGTGGCCTTGCTTTGTACAGTCCCTGACTCCGTTTAACTGCACCATTTCCCCCTTCTTCCCCGCCTTTCCCAGCGGCATATATTCTGAATTTTAAGCTGCTGCTGTAATGGACAGACTGAATCAGATGTGGCTAACTTATTTCAGTGGCTCTTAACCTTGAGTTTGTTAGTAGATTTCAAGAAACCTATATTCTCCTGGTGTTTTTTTCTGGGGCATATTTCTATGGTTTTCTTCAGATTTCTTTTAGAATCCAAGACCCAAGATAGTGCAACTATCCTTGGTTGAATTAATTTCCTGGTTTGTATTCATTCTAGATTTTTTACCTCCTCCAGAGAAAAAGCCAGACAAATAACCAGAAATATAAGCTTAATGTCTATAGCCCCTTGCTGTTTAATTGTAGTGCCTTTTCTCTCTCCAAATTGCTCAAGTCCCCGTGCTGGTATTTGCTTTCTTGCAGTAGTCTAGAGGCACTTGCATTAGTTGTTAGCGGTACCGTTAGGTTAAAGATGATGAGGTGGATTTTTTTCAGGGATCTGAAAACAGAAGGAGACTGCTAAAAAGATGGAAACTTTTATAATCTCTGAGCATCTTAGCACCTGAGCCTTTTGAAATTTAGTAGTAAGGTTTTCTTTTATAAGACTGAAGGGTTTTTTAATAGTGATGTCGAGTAATTTCAGTTTGCTATCAAATACTTCTGAGCCTAGGCTATAGAATCTCTTGTTTTAAAAATGTTTATCAAATTAAGAGTCCATTTATATTTAAACCTGTTGGATTTGGGAGGTTTTTGGGTCTTTTTGTGTGTATAAATGTATCTATGTGTATGTGTGTGTATTTATGTATATGCATATGTTGTTGTTATGTACCATCAAGTTGGAACTGACTCATAGTAGATCCTCCAGTGGAGTTTTAGCACTGGAGGAAATTGCCCTATACATACATATACACACACACACACGTATATATTTGGTACATATATACACACACGTATATATAAAATAAATACTGCATATGTGTGTACATGTTGTTGTGTATTGTAGAGTCATGGCTGACCCACTAGTGGGTTTTTACAGGCAGTTAATTGCACAGGAGGAGATTGCCTGCCTATCCTCCTGTGGAGCAGGAAAAGGTGGCTTTGAACAGCTTGTCTTCTGGATGTGTGTGTATGTACGTTTGCATATACACACACTGTATATATTTGTTTTAGTTAATATTAATACACTTTTTTATTTTCTGTGACTAGTAAGTAGGTTCAGAGGTAGGATTGATAAAAGTGATTGTTGTTGTTGTTGTTGTTATTGTGTGCTAAGTCAGAACTGACTCATAGTTGACCCCCTAGTGAATTTTCAGAAGCTGTAAATCACATAGGAGGAAAATGTCTTTTTTCCCAGGGAACATCTATCTATCTGGTGGACGCAAACTGTCTACCTTTGGATTAGTGCTGTAACTTTACCGTTGGGCCACCAGATGTCCCTAACAATAGCAAAAACATCTGGTGGATTTGAACCGCATGCCTTTGGGTTGACATTGGAACTCCTTAACCACCTGACCTTCCTTTTACTATTAGTGATTAAATTGCTTTTTTTTTTTATAATTTTTGCATTTTAAAAATTTTAATGTAAATGGTTAATTCAAATGTGCAGCATACTAGAATGTTAAATAGAATTCTTATTTTACTTAATACCTTAAGTCAGTTAATAAGTGTTCGTGAACATTAATTCTTGTCTACAGAAAAGCTGAAATAGACTCAGTTATTCACCATTTTGATTTTTCCACCTCAGATCTGTTAGATTGAGATTACATCTTTTGGTAGCCCAAAACCATACGATAGGGTACCAGCATCCTTTTTCTGACAATATTATTGCTGCTGTTATGTGCCATTGAGTTGGTACTGACTCATAGCTGATGCTCCAGAAGGTCTTCAGAAGCAGTAAATCACAAGGGAGGAGATTGCCCATCCTTCTTTTGCAGAACAGCTGGTGGATTTGAACCACGTGCCTTTGGGCCACGTACCTCCTTACCATTAAGCCACCAGAGCACCCTGTTCTAACCCGTAGCAACTGTAGATCAGAAAAGAGCTGCCCGTTGGGCTTCCGAGACGTAAACAGCAGCAGACTGCCACATTTTTTCCCTCCAAAAAACTTCTGATTCTTTCATTTTGTAAAGCTAGATGCAGGCCCTGTGAAGAAGTCTTGAAGCAGGTATGACCCCTGTGCCTATTTATCCGTGACCCTGTTTGCACACTCGGGAATTGATCTCCATTTAGGAATGGTCACTTTGGAGGGATCTGAACAGAGAAAGGCTGGCTGGCACTTGTTGCTGATTTGAACAGCAGCTACTATATACCACCAGGGCTCCTTAGTGGATTCATACATAGTATTGTTCACTTAGTGACCAAAGAAAAGTTTGCAGTGAAATTCCATTAGTAAGGACCTGTCAAGAGTTCAATTTGTTGGCAAGCTTAAACAAGCTACTGACCTCTCTCTCATTAAAATCTAGGACTTTGTATCTCAAATTGGAATTTTCTTTTCTTTTTTTAATACAACATTAACTTTATTGATCTTTTTTTTAAACTTTTTTCATTTTTTATTATTTTTGTGTGAGTGTACCGTCAAATCAGATCTGACTGGTACAG